GAAGTTGCACTTATGCCGATAAGTGCAACTTCGGCGCGGAGGGGTTGCCCTTGAGAGGATCCCGCTAAGGTCAAGACCATTATGGACTGGTCGGTCTCGAAGAACCAAAAGTACCTGTGCAAGTGGCTTGGCCTCGCCAACAACTTGCACAAGTATAGAGCAAATTATGCGGAAATGGCACGGCCATTGTCGAATCTTCATAAGAAAGATGCGGAATAGTGTTGAGAAACCGATCATTAGGAGGCTTTTGATGGGGTCAAAGACTAATACAGGTGTTGCCAGACACCGATCGTCCTTTTAGTGTCGTATGTGACGCTTCGGACTTTGTCATCGGCTGTAAACTGCTACAAATAGACGTAGAGGGGCGAGATCGGGTGATCGCGTTCAAATCTCGCCAGCTTAAGGCTGCGGGGAAGAACTACCCAATCCACGACAAGAATTACTTGCGATGAAGTATGCACATGTCAAGTTCAGGGTGCACCTGCTCGGCTCAAAGCCGTTTGTGATCTTCACAGATCATGCATCATTACGCACTGCGACTCATTCGCCCCACCTCTCACAATGTATGACCAGGTGGCTTTTCTTCTTCGCAAAATATAACTTTGAGGAGAGTATCTGCCAGGAAAGCAGAATGTTTTGGCGGATGCGTTGTCACACAGACCGAATTATGAGCTCGCTCATGTCACGAAGATGACGTCGTCAGTGACGGATTTGATCCGCGCCGCATACGCGGGTGATGGTATGTGTCTAGCGCTGCTACAGGCTCTCGAAATCAAGGAGTTGGAAACTCGGACAATAAATGCCGGCATGATTGCGTGTACGGTCACACCGATATTCGTTAAATAACGGGTTGCTGAATTATTTTAGCACCGATGCGACGGATACGCCACGAATTGTGGTTTCTCATGATGAGAATTTGAAAAGACCGTATCCTCTATGAGGCCCACGACACCCCACGCAGTGATCATCTCGGTCTAAAGAAGACGAACAGCTCTGTCAGTTGCCACTTCTGGTGGCCCAAGCCGTACAAATGGACGAGCACAAATGTGCGCACGTGTGAGACGTGTCAGAGGGTGAGACCCTCTCAGAGTGCGGCGGCGCCGCTGGCCAGTTTACCTGTACCTTCCGGGTGTTGACAGTTCATTAGTGTGGCTTGTGTGTTTGGCCTGCCGAAGGACTCAGCGGGCAACACGGGTGCCGTGGTCTTTGTGGACTTTTTGAGCAAGATGGCTCGTCTTGGGGCAGCATAGGACACCATCGGCGGCGTGGGTACAGCGACGCTGTTTGTCGACCGTGTATCTCGACAACACGGACTCCCGGAGTCAATTGCCTCGGATAGAGATTCGCGCTTCACTAAGAAGTTTTGGTCTACAATCTTCAGGGTGCTAGTACCAAGTTGGCTATGTCAGCAGCGGACTACCTGCAGACCGATGGCCAAACTGAGCACGTGAATCGCGTCTTTGAAGACATTTTTCCCAGTGTCTGCGCTAAGACGCCAGAGCTCATACTGCCACTCGTAGAGTTTGCGCTAAACGATGCAATGCATTCATCGACCGGCTACAGGCCGCTCTACGTGAACGGTTGTGTCCCGCTGACCCCGACATCCCATGGCTTAGAGCTCGGTGCGGGGGATTAGCCGAACGGCTAGCTGATATCAGCCCCTCACCGTGCGTAAATAAGTCGATGATGTCCTGTCTGTCTGAATGAGTGTCTTACGACACGTTCGCAACGCGATGGCTGAAAGCGAATTCATGCAGAAAGAATATGCAGGCGGAAGGAGGAGAAAAAATGTGGAAAACACTGGATTCGGAGACCTGGTTTAGCAAATGCTAAAAACCTTCCTACACATGCCGTTTCTGCTGTCCTAACATGTTTCGCAATGCAATGGCTGAAAGCGAAGACATGCAAAAAGATTATGCAGGCGGAATGAGCAGAAGAAATGCGGAAAACATTGAGTTCAGAGACCTGGATTATTAAATTTTAGAAATGTCCTACACATGCAGTTTCTGCTGTCTTAACACAACTGTTCTTCCACAGTTTATCGGACCTTTGAAGGTCGTGGCTAATCGGGGCCTTGCATATACGCTAAATCGTATGAAAAGGACGCGCACCCACCCGGTGTATTATGCGGGCTTGCTTCAGCTGTACTGGGATCCGGCAAGTGAACGCGAAAGCGTTGGCGCAGGGATGGCGCCCAAAGACGATCGGCTACCCAGAAGCTGAACCACCAGCTGGTTATGAGCACGGAGTGCAACAAGTTCCGTTTCCAACGGCGCAAGGCGCTCCAACGTCGCACGAAATGCTGTATACGTCTGCTCGACGGCTAAGGAGCCGCTCTGATAGAGCGCGATAATCCTCAACTTGAGGCAGTCGGTGCACAAAGTCTCGAGGTCTTCCGCACAGCGAAAGGCGATCTCGGAAAGATGCTCGGTGGAATGCCGATAACGACAGACTTTGTCCTCCAAAGCTCGAAGAGCATCGCGAGTCACCGGTCGTTAAACACCAATTCGTCTTCGGCCGCCGTCGACTCTTCTTGATAAGAATGGTGGTGTCCACTATTATGTGAAGCGCCTTGTGAATTGACGTCGCCGACAGGGTCAAACATAATATCGTGTGAAGTGGTGGGGATACCCAAAGCTCCGAAAACTCGTAGGAGTTTGAGGTGCCACTTCGGCAATACAGCCCAGACGTCGTGGACGCTCATAATCAGAAGGATTAAGACGCTCCGCGTTTCCCGGCAGTAGCCCGGGAAGCCAAAGGGCCATGAGCTGAGCTCACGCTATGGCCCTGAGCTGTTGTGGTCGTAGACTCACCCGTGTGAAAACCACAAAGCTCGCGGGAGCATGATGGATTATTCCATGTGTTGCAGGGCGACAATACCGGCGTTGCACCTTGAATCTGGCAAACTCAAATCGAAGATGGCGGTCTACGCACACGCCCACTCCTTGTCGCTCCGCTGTAATTAGACAGCGTGGAAAGTTTCCGGTGCCGCTGTACCCATCGCTCAAAGAGCTCTTCATCACAGATATAGTCCGCATTGCGAATAAAGATACGCGTCCTCTTTGAGCTCGAAGTTGGGCGCGGTACCTATCCATTAGGATTTTTTAAGGTACCAAGTAGCGAGCTCGGAGAGCTTTTCACGGGTCAAACTTATCTTGTGCAGTGGCCGGGGGCCCGACTACGTAGACGCTTAACGATTGAGTGATCGCGTGTTTTGCTTTATTAGTGGGGTCCGCCAAGCGGATGCCGCATTCCACACGAGAGTATAGGACCAAACGTGGATACGAACGCATGAGAGCCGCCCTGTGGGCAACCTCCAACTGCTGCTCCTGTGTCTCGTCGAGGCGATCGGGAAAAACAGCACCCCCCCCCGGAAGTCGAGAGGTCGGAACGGGCACGGTGTCCGCAAGGTTCGAGCTGGGCTCACGTCGCGCCGTTGGCGCGCCTCGCCCTCCTTGCTGGGAAAGGAGTATCCGACTCGTAGTCGACTTCCTCCAAATCCTCGACGAGAAAATCTGTCGCGCGGGGCGTGGCGCTCTGTTGCCGAGGGCTCGAAATATGCTTCCCCTGAAGCTGCGGGTGTACAGTCCGGAGATGCACACCGTGCAGAAGAAGAAGGGCTTTGCCCGCGTACGCCATAGGAGCCAGCCAGGCTGAGTGTTTATTGTGTCATAGACACAGGGCTCATTGAGCGGAGAATGTTTAAAGATGCTATCAAGTAGTAACGGTGTCTCAGATACGCGAGCCTCGTATGAGGCGACATTTGACTGTGAATTGTGCGTATCCACAATTTTGATGGGGGAGGATGTAACGGGGTTACATGTACCCAGGGTGTAACGGAGGCACATGTATCGTTGATGAAAAGGCGGGTCACATAAGATGGTGTGACCGTATGTGTGTGGATTTCGTAATCCCACAACGGTGTGGCTACACCGTAACAAGAAGCCACTACGTGGCAGGTTTGCCAGTAGTAATGCATATAATCAAATTTTATCATATCAATTAGGTATCACTATATTAATTAGAAAAACCGAAGGTTTTGGATATAGGCGGCTCTGCCGCAATCAAAGCAATTAACTACAGTTTCAGTTTTGAAGGGTAGAGCCATTTTACCTCGGTCAAGCCTTTAAGTACTCTTGGAGGCGGATTGCGATTCGCTGCACTAGTACTGGTTCTTCTAAAGAACGAAAGGTCGGTGATCATAGCTTAGCTTCCTCTATGCGAAGAGCTACGCAGCCCCGCTGCAGTGCGAGTGTAGCGAATCATAATCCGCGTACTCGAAAAGTTACCACAATCTTAATCCAAGGCAAATAAACTCTTCCATGTAAAATGTAAATGTATTCCTTGGTTTTGTTTGCGGCAAAATCGCCTACATCCAAATCTATAGGTTTTCCTAACTAAAGAGTATAATTAAAATGCATGACTACTGGCAGTCCAGCCATGTGACTTCCTGTAAGGGTGCAACCACACCATTGTGTGGTCACACCATCTTGTGTGACCATGATCCTTCATACCAGTACGTGGAACCGCTACACTATATGTACGCTACTTTTTACATTGAAAAAGAAATTTTGCTTAGGAATAACCATTACGTTAATGAATTCCAATTTTCTCAGTCAATTTCTACAGTTGATTATTCCTAAAAACTTTAAAGATCGAAAAAATGAGTTTAAATATAGGTCTATAATTTTAACTTAAGACTAAAGATCGCAGAGCGTACAGATAGATGTATGCTTACTTGTATTACTATTATCTGACATGACAAAAAATAGTCGCTGAGATGACCCTATTTTCACGGCAGAGTCCATGACATGATTGTTGCACTCGCAGCCGCAATATTCTTGATTTCCTTGAGGCATAATAATCTCAATCTAAGAAGATCAAAAGAGATTGCGTTAACGAACAATTAGCAAGCAAAAATCTAGTTTCCGGCTAAGATCTTCTTGATTTTTTATAATCACATCGCAGCTTAAGATTGCAAATAGCATTGAGCTTTGAGAAGCTGAATGAAGTGCTGCAGCCAAAGCTTTGATAATTGCCATGAGATATTTCGAATTCGCAAAAAAATCCGGATCTTTACTGCTTCATAAATTATATAAATATCCTGCAATGCTTTCTTACGCTCTTAGCCGCCTTCGAACTACGGACTTAATTTCCCGCTCCATGCAGCATTTCTCGTCATCATTCAACACGTCAACATTCTCCCTAATCGAACTCTTTGAGCGCAGCGTCGAGTTAGGCAAATCTTTGCCCCCACTCTCGGACAACGGTGCCAAGCTCGAGTTGTATGCGCTCTTTAAGCAGGCTAATGTAGGCAAGAATACTTCTTCGAGGCCAAGTATGCTGGATTTCGTAGGCCGAGCAAAGTGGGATGCATGGGCAAAGCTTGGCGATATGACACAAGATGAGGCCAAGGTAAAATACATAGCCATTATTGACGAGATGGCGGTGACGAAGTGTGGTAAGTACCAGGGTGAAGAGGGATCTGTTGCAGCTACGACTTCTGATCGTTCGTCAAAGATTCTTGTTGAGATCTCGTGAGCCAAATTTGTATTTTTTACAAATTGTGACAACACGTGTCACTTTGTTGACGTGCATTGTATTATTATGTCACAACAGCGACGCGGGGCTGTTAACAATTCAGTTAAATCGCCCTAATAGACTCAACGCTATTGATATCGGCATGTATGAAAGCATAATTGAAGCGCTGGAGAGCTCTAAAACTCAGGACAAGGTAAAAGCTGTCCTCTTGAAGAGCTCTGGCGAGTACTTTTCCAGCGGTAACGATCTCAGCATGTTTTCTTTCAATTCGGATGGTCTTTCTCAACAGTCAATGGCAGAAAGAGGCGCAATCTTACTAAAGGAGGTTATTGATACTTTTATCACATATCCTAAGCCGATCGTTGCTGCTGTTCAAGGACCTGCAGTTGGTATCGCAACGACCATTTTGGGTCTCTGTGACCTTGTTTACATCAAGGAGACGGCGACGTTTCAGACGCCTTTTACTTCGCTGGGTCAATCGCCAGAAGCGTGCTCGTCTCTACTTTTTCCACGGATAATGGGACCCGCACGTGCAAATGCTATGTTATTACTCGGCGATAAATTTACTGCGAAAGACATTTTGGATTTTGGGCTGGCATCTGCAGTATTTGGGGCTGCAGATTTTGAAATTCGAGTTCAAGAAAAGGTGGATTTGTTGCTGTCACATCACTCGAAGGTCATGCAGCGCTCTAAGGCGCTTATTCGCTCATCTGCTGCCATAAAAGAGTTACAAGAAATTAATCATCTTGAGTGCCAGACACTTAAGGAACTGTGGGTCGCAATCGAATGCATGGATGCAATTTTGAGGTTTCAATCTCGCAAAGATTAAGTGATCAAGTGTGGTTAGCGTTTTACTTTACGTCGCGCTGTTTTCAGCTATGCAGCCTGTGTTTACATTACTTAAGTGAGTGAATCAAAACGAGGACAAACAGCTTCACTTTCTTATTCAATATCACTTTGACACAAGTAACGACTAGCCCAAACGTACTACCTCAAATCTTTAAAAACTCGCCTTCCTTCACCATTGGACTCTTGGCTCGCGAGGAATGCAGCACATTTCCAGCTTTACAAGCCATAAAACTTTATTCCTAATAAATTGGCTAGGACCATGCTCAGAGCATTCTAAGACAGCCTGAATACGGACTGTTCTAAATGTACAAATGTTGCTTTTCGAGCACATTCTTTCACCGAGCACTGAACACTTTCTTCATATTGATCTTTGTTGCTGCAATCGGATGACTTAGATGTTTTCACCCCCACGTTGAAAAACACCTTTTGCCTTGTTCTCATATTCATCGCGTCCGCATTGAAGGGTTCTCCCGTGAGCCATAATCAATCCTTTTGCCATGACGTACTGATCACAATCCGATTAGGAACACTGAGAACTTCCTCTTCATACAAAGCATTTGATACGTGTTATGAGTTGACTATTCCCCAACACCTGGACTTCATTATAGGCAGCTTGACTATCGCCTTTGCTCGTACAGAGGAGCTTGGTATGTCCAAATGGATTTTTCTCACTTCATTGTGCTTCACGCATCTTTGTCTGGATAAGAAATTCCTCACGCCTTCAAATTTATAGATGCGCGTAGAATTTACATATTTGCTTTCGAAAGCAAGTTTCGAGGTCGAACCAAAACGCTAGCCACTGCTGTCATCTAAATGTATTTCGTCTATTGAAGACTTGCCTTATTCTCGGTACAAATTCTGGCCTTTCATTTGTTGCAGATAAAAATGCTATTATGTCTGAGCAAGAGTGTATATTTTACAATTTTTGAGCGGTATATTTAAATTTGAGCCAAAAGAAATATGTGGACATTGTGAAACGCTTTT